CTGAAATCTACACTTTGAATATTTTATGGTAAAAAAATCAAATTCATCTTATATACATATAATATCTTAATAAATCTGATATGTTTCTTTCGGAACTTGGATTTTCCTTTGTTTCAACCTAAACAGAGTGTCCTTCTTCGAGAGCCGGGTAACCACTTATAATAATATTTGTTGAATTTTATGCATTAAATGATTTATTGGAATAAAAATCAAATTCATTTAATTTACATCAAATATTTTATATCTTTTAAATCGTATGACTACAATTAACTAATAATTATAAAATCTTAACTAGTATGTTATGTTTTTTTTTTCAGAATTTCGATTTTTATCGTTTCAATCAAAAAGAGGTGTCCTTTAACAGCTGTGTAACCATTTATAATTTTTTTTGTTGAATTTTATACATTAAATATTAAATGGAATAAAAATCAAATTCATTACTTTACATAAAATATCTATAAAATATCTTGAAACTTTTAAATCATTTAAATAAAATTAACTAATAATAATTAATTCTTGATAGATCACACTCATATATTTTAAATATAATTTAATTTAAATTAATCAATCTAATTTTGTTTCAAATTTCAATTCATTTTTTTTTTTTCTTCATCTATCTAAATCAAAATCGTTCCAGGAGCTGAGGATCCCCTTTTAGTTTTTACCTTTTTATTTTAAATGGTTTAATTATAATAATTTTGTAATTTGCTTAAAGTATTATGAAAATCTAATAAAATATTTAAATTAATGCTTTATATCTAACTATTTATAAATCAAGTTTTAAAATTCTAAAGAAATTTATAATCTTTGTATTATTAATCTTATTTAATAATCAAATAATATTTTAATTCAATATAATAGCTACTGCTGGATCACTCTAGTTACACCACTACTTGCCAAATGCTTTATCACTGTATCAAGGACACTCTGCACAGGAGCATTTCTGAAAAAGATTATTGGTTAATAATTGCTGTACATGATTCAAGATTGATATAAAATTATTAAATGGTATTTCTTACCTTGTATGGTATTACAAATATATATATTTAATTTCTTATTTTAAATGAAAGATAAAGTTTAATATTTACTTACATTTTCTCAAGTTGTCATTATGCTTAAGATTTGACATTTTAGTAGTTGAAGAAAAAAAATTTGAAAATCGGCTGTAGAGGGAATAGGACGCAAGTTCTGGCATACCATGAGTGACATTTCGGCCTTGTTCCTCTTCTACTGGCCAAAAGGTATACTTAGTCACTGACCTATAGAAGGGCCGCTATAAAACATTGTTGGACAATAAGATTGTTTGACGAAGAAACACACAGTCCACAATAGAATAGCGTCAATAGGTTTCAATAGAAACGATTATTCATATGAGTTGTTTTTATATTTTTACTCTTATCTTTATTTTAACTCGATTCGATACGACGATACGAAGAAGTAAAATGTTCATTACTTTTCTCTTGATACTTACTCAGATCGGTCCTTTCGTTTGGATATTTTCATTCGATTCGATACCAAGTATAAGTATCGACACTTTTCTTTCGATACTACGTCCCTAGTTGTGATGCGAAAACGTGAACACCCGCGCGGTGATAAAATGGAACACAAAGCATAACGGACCAACGAGAGGACAATGAGAAGACTAGCGTAGATTGATGCCGCCATCCTGGCAGTGTGACCAGATCGACGGTACGACGCCGTGTGTGATCTTGAACGCGAAAAGCTCCTAGCGACGATCGCTGCCGCCGGACATTTCTTCACGTTCCGGAAGCTATTTCGATGGTTACGCGCCTGGACTGTATATATATATATATATATATATATATATATATATTTATAGATCGGCAGATTCTATTTGAACGCACGTTCCGTTTTCGAGGCGGTGGCGGCGGCGTTAGACGACGGGCCAGCAGCGACTCGTTTTTGGTGGGCCGGTTCAACCACCTGTACGGATGTCCGCGCTCCGTTTGGCGAAATATTGGTCGATGATAACGACTTGAACCTGTTCCCTCACCACGACAACAAGATATCCCCTTCTCTCCACCCCCCTCGCCCCTCCAACGTGATGATGTATCCGTATGCATCGTATTAATAATAATTATTATCTGAGGCGACCGTGGAGAGCTGTTGGATATAGTATTTTTTTTCCTGCTTGTTTTTTTTTCCACTTCAGTGTTCATTATCATCCCGTTTATAATTTATTTTTTCTTCCTCATTGCTCGCAACTAGTTCACTGGGTTCTCTCCGCCTATCGTATCGTTATCGTGCTATCTTCTCAATGTCTTGAGTTCGATGTCGTCCATCCGTTCGGGCAAAAATGTTTCGCGACCAACTACGCTTCTCGTTCCGAACTCTGGCTCGTGAAACTGTACTGAACACCCTGTAGTTGTATTAACGATATAGTCTTATGATTAAAATGAGACATAATTTAATACTATGGGCTTTAATTTTTATATCATCTTCCTGCGCCAATGGTAATGTTTCACCCTTTGATTATTATCTATATATTTATTATATTATACTTAAATACGCGATTACTTATCATATTAGTTATTGATCAATACATTAGTACAGTTTTGGATCGATTGTATCCATTGGATATTATTCCTTGTACAATATATTATTTAAACAGTGGACAATGTAACATTAGCCACCATTTTGTATGTTTTTTACTTTTAAATTATATGTGAACAGAAAATACATATTAAATTGTACACATTTTTATTAATTTTAAATGTTCTAGAATTTTTTTTTAGTTTTATAATTTTGAGTAGTGAAATGGGATTTTTAGTTTAGGAGCCATGTTTATTATTTATTTTAGCATTTAATATATGTTACTGACCATTTTTAACTATGGACTAACATATTTGTTTTGATTTTATTTTTCAATATTGTTCTAATACTCCGAGACAGTAATTTTATGGTTTTTAAACTACAAGTTTTAGTCACACTCAATTTATTACTGTCATTGCCTTTTCAACAAATTTATGATTAAAATCCTTCAAATTCCCAGTGTTTTACATAAATATGGTAGTTATTTTAACATTGATTTTTTTATACTTATTTTATCATACATTTCAGATTTGGTATTTAATACATATATGCAAAATGAAGCACTCTCTGAGAATACTCCAGTTGGTCAATCAGTGTACAAACTTGAGGGTGTCGATTCTTCTGGAAATGATCATGATTTGTTATATGGTATAGAAGGAACTGATTATTTGACTGTCGATTCTAATACAGGAGTTGTTACTGTTGCCAAACCTTTGGATCATGAAGTAGATATTGTTTTAAACTTTCTTACTATAATAAGTTGTTTTCAATTTTCTTTGAATATTTTAGAATAATTTCTATTTTCGTGTTTTAGAAAAGTAGTACATTGCAATTTACCGTAACTCTTCAACATAAAATTAGCAATGATGTTCTTAAACTTCCTACAAATGTAATCATATTGGATGAAAATGATAATGCTCCAACATTTAAACATACTCCCTATGAAGGTTCAGTTAATGAAGAATCTCCTGTTGGCACTACAGTATTTAAATGGATCCATGTTGAAGATTTAGATAAAGTTGGTGAACCTCTTGAAGTTCGATGTGAATCTAATTTCCAGGTTATTTATAAAACTTTATACTAAGCAATGTAAATTCATTTTTGCTCAAGTCTTATAGAGTGAAAATCATATAAAATAACAAAATATAATTAATATATCAATAAAATATATTATAATGTAAAAATAAATTTGATTTCATTAACGTATTACATTAAACATTACACAATGAGTTTAAAATGATGCGTATATATTTAGTTTTTTTTTTGTGTAGAAAATGAATATGTAATATTAATTTTCAGAATGATGATGGATGTTCCAAATTTAAAATTCAGTCAATCAATGCCAGTGAAAGTTATTATTTGGGTGCTATAGTTGTAAATGGAGACATACAATATTCAGAAAATTTATTTTATAAGTTGTTACTCATTGCTAGTGTAAGTTATATTGGTTGAGTTAAATTAAATATATATATTAATTTTATGTTTTTTACATTATCGTTTTGTGTGAAAGATTTTCTATTTACCATACTTTTTGAGATGAAAAAAAAATTATTTACTGTTATTGTTAATTTAATAAATTCATTATTTTGTTATTTTTAGGATGGCTTACATGAAACTAAAATAGATCTAGATATTCATATTAAAGATGTTCAAAACATGCCTCCTGTTTTTCATGGATCATTAACTGCAGTCATTAGTGAAGATATATCAATTGGAACTCACATTTTGTCAATAAATGCAAAAGATGGAGATAGAGGAGAGCCAAGAAATATTATTTATGACCTAATACAAAGTATATAATCTAAATACATTGGATTATTTCTAATGAGAGCACTGGTTAATATGGGTATCTATGTAATATGGCTAAAGTTTTCTGGTCCCAAATCCAGTGTATATTAAAAAATCTGCATAATATGCACACTCAGTTCAGTTTATGTGATCAATGTTTATTTTAGTTTTGTCGTATCTATGAGATGGGTTTATCAAAAGTAACAAAAATCATTAGCTTTTAAACTTTAGTGGGATTTTATTGTAAGTTAATTGAATGTATAGGATTTTAGTAAAGAGGAATCGAAAAAAAAAATATATAAAGTGATATATTTGTAGCTTTGTTTCCCTAAATTGACATCAATCATTTGATTTTTACCTTGAATTTCAATGTGTTCGTGAAAGTTTTCGATTATATCTTAAAGAAATTTTCCCTTCAAGGAAAAAAAATCTTGATTTTGGAAAATTTGAAGTTTCTTCCTCCAGGTATTTAACAAGTAAAATCGCTGAACAATTATATGTTCCAAGTTTATATTATCTATTTTTATTTATATATTAATTTAATATTTTTTCTCAAATTTATGGTTTTTACGTGCAAAATAAAAACTTTTTGATATTAAAAATGTTGGTGCTTTTGAACTAAGTTGGGTTTATATGGCCAATTACTTAATATGGGAAAATGGGTTTGGTCCCAACATGTCTACATTAAATGGAAGTCACTATGATTATTAATCATAGAAAAAATTGTGTAGTTAATATTAGTTTGCATAATATTTTATTCCTGTATTTAACAATTTTACCGTTAATAAGATTTAACCTTAATCATTTATAAAATAATATTGTCAAATCAGTTATTAAAAATATTTAATAAGTACATACTTATTTCTTTTGCAGATCCTATGGATTACTTTTCTTTGGATGGTTTGTCTGGTGATTTAACTACTGCTAAACCAATTGATCGAGAATCATTATCTAATAATAATGGCATTATAACATTAACTGTTCGAGTAAGCTTAAATTTATATATTTTATTTTATTTAATATTTGTATATATTTTAATCTTTTTTTAATATTGTACATTTTTTATTTTCTAGGCTAGAGAAGTTGCCAATGGTTCAGCTTTAGATGATAAATTGAGTTCTTCCATGGCAATCGTTACAATTACTGTTCAAGATGTTAATGATGAACCACCAGTTTTTAATAAGCGTGACTATTTTGTCTCAATACCAGAAAATATAGCTCCTGGTACTCCTTTACCTAACTTAAATATGTCAGTTGTGGACTCAGATATAGTAAGAGTATATTCATTAATTTTATAATAACTCTAACACATAGATATTCTTTACAATAAATACAATATTTCTCTAATAGGGTGCTAACTCAGAATTTTCTTTGAGATTACTTGATGAATCAAAACTGTTTGTGATTGAACCAAATAAAGCTATTGGATCAATAGATGTTAGCATAAAATTGGCAAATAACGTAAAATTAGATTATGAAGATCCAAACCAGAGGAAATTTATTGTTTTGGTATTATTATTATTATTAATAAAAATAATAAAATAAAAGGACCTAATGGTATTTCTTTGTATTAAAATTTTTTATGTTAAAATAGGTTATAGCTAGCGAACCTAGTGTAAAATATGATTTGACATCAACAGCTACTCTTACAATTCAAGTAACAGATGTGAATGATAATCCTCCAGAATTTGACAACAATGCTTATACACTTACTGTAAATGAAACAGCTACACCGGGAACTGTAATAGGTGTTGTTAAAGCAACCGATAGAGATAGTAATCCTAAAATTGTTTATAAATTAAGCGGACCTTCAGCGGATAAGTAAATATTGTTTTATCTTTTATTTATTGTTATTGCTAAATTAGTTTTATTTTGTCTTAAGTATATTAAAATTTACATTATTTTTACAGGTTTAATGTAGATAAAAATACTGGTACCATATCAGTAGCTCTTTGTTCAAATATTGGGAAAGCACCATGTTTAGACTATGAAACACAATCAAATTATTACTTAACATATATAGCTACAGATGATAATGGAAATGGACAGTCAAATTCAGTTACTATAATGGTAGCGTTGACTGATAGTAATGATAATCCACCAACTTTCATGCAACATTCATATACTAGTCTTATTGATGAAGGAGTAACTTTATTTGAACCTCCCCTTATAGTTCAAGTTAGTAAATATATTTTTAGTATAAACCTATACAAATTATTGTGTGTGTGTTATATTATTAAATTTATATATTTTTTCTATTTTTAAATATTAACAGTTTAACTATATTAGTAAGACTTACTTTATTATTTAATATAAAACTGATATTCTTATAAAATAAAGTTACTGAATCACTATGCTCAGTATAACTTACTAACATTTATTTTTCAAATTGTCCAGGCAATAGATGCAGATAAATCTTCATCTATTTTATATTCCATTAGATTTGGAAATGAGAAGCAATTATTTAAAATAGATCAAAGTACGGGTGAAATATTTATTGTATCCCCCAATGGACTTCAGCGATCAAAAAATAATATAACTCTCATCGTTGAAGTAAGTATATATATTATGTAAACTTAAATACTGAATTCATTATAATAAAATTATTAATTTAACTTATCCAGGCAAATGATGGAGTATACAGTGATGAAGCAACTGTGAATGTTGTTGTGTTAGATGTTAATAACAACAGTCCAAAATTCTTGTTAGAAACATATAATGTTTCTATTTATGAAAATGAACCAATTGGTTATAGTGTTATCAAAGTGGAAGCAATAGATGAAGATTTAGATATGAACGCAAATTTAACATACCATATTCAAGAAGGTTCATTCAATAATTTCTTGATTGATCATATTACTGGACTAATTTATACTTCATCAAAACTTGATTTTGATCAACATTCAAACTATGCCATTAAAACATTAGCTATTGATAAAGGAACTCCTGCACTAACTGGTAGTACAACAGTACTTATCAATATTATAAATGTAAACAATAAAAGTCCAGAATTTATTCCTACTATACAACGGACAGAGGTTTGATATTTTGTTACTTCTTGGTTATTATTTATTGTTATATTATAGTGAAAATTATAATATTTAGGTATCAGAAGATGTTCCAGTTAACACAGTTATATACCATCTCATTGCTCACGATCCTGATACTAGTGATGAAAATGCCTTAAATTATTCTTTGGATTCTTCAGCGGTTACTGGGATAAGTATTAATGGAAATCAATTGGATGATAATAAAGATATTAAAAATTGGTTCAAAGTTAGAGCATCCAATGGTGACATAATTATAGCTAAACCCATTGATAGAAACATTGCAGCTATTGTGAGTTTGTCTGTTGTAGTCACTGATACTTCTGCTCCAGATATACAGAAAGCAACAGGTTATTTTATAACATTGTTTAATTTGAATTTAATGTTTAAATTAAAGCTAAAACTATTTACTAAAAAGTACTAACTTCTTAACCGTTGAAAGGGTACTAACATTTTAACTGTTGAATAGGTAAACATTTTTCATTTTTTAGATTTTTTTATTATATTATATATTTATATTACTATACATTATGATTATAATTTTTAATATATTTGTTTTAACTTTTTATAATTATATTTTAGCAATAGCAAAAATCTAATTCATTTTTATATTTTTAGGAACATTAATGGTGACTATTATAGATGTCAACGATACACCACCAATATTTGAACCCCCTTGGACTAAAGAAAATCCATACTATACCACATCAGTTCTAGAAGAACAGCCGATTAATTCTTCAGTTGGAAAATTTACTGCAACTGATGATTCTGGAATTGATTATTATGATATTATACCTAACAACCAATATGTGAATGTAAATCAAACTACAGGTAAATGAACTGATTTTTCAAATAATTATGTAATTTTAGCATGTAATAATTTATTTAGTTTTGTTATAATAATACAGTGTTATTTTGATTTCAGGAGTTATATATACAAAAGAGAAACTTGATTTTGAAAGTATTGAAACAATTAATATTAATTTAATTGCGTATGACACTGGTCATCCTCAACTTTCAACCACTGCTACTATATTAATAAAAGTTATTAACATAAATGACAACTCTCCAATTTTTAATGAGGTATTATTTACTAAATTAAACTAAATAGCTTATATTGTAATAATAATGTTATTAAAATAATATTTTATCTAAAATATTTTATTATACTGACTATAGGCTTAAAATAAATAAATGAGCTTTGATTTTTAAAATGTATGTAACTAATATAATAATTTGTATTAATTTTTGTCAAAATCTAAATTTGATCATTATGCACGTATATTTTATTAATAACTATTATACATTTTATCTATTAATTTGTTAATAATTGATTTTAATTACCATTTTAGACTGAGTATAGAGCTGAAATAGAAGAAAATTCACCTTCTGGGACTTATGTTACACATGTAATCGCAACTGATGCTGACAAAGGGTTATTTGGATTGGTCCATTATTCTATCATTGGTGATACATTTGGTTTTATTATTGATCAAGACACAGGAATGGTCAAAGTTAATGATTCCAGTTTTCTTGATCGTGAAATAACTTCAGAGTTAATGTTAACAATTCAAGCTAAAGATGAAGCTCCCCCAGGCTTAACCAAATCTTCAGTAGTATTGGTAAGTCATTTTTCAATCTATTTTTTAAAAATTGAATGTAGTTTAATTTTTTTAATTTTTAATAGAGATTAGATATCCTGTGATTACTTTAAAATGATATAACATTACTTTATACAACTGAAATATGTAATAGTTAATATAAATTCTGTTTATTTTCTTATAGTTGTATATTAAACTAATTGATGTAAATGATAATCCACCACAATTCGACCCAAAGACTTATTCATTGTCTATTATAGTCTCCACTCCTACAACTCCTTTAATGCAATTGAAAGCTATCGATAAAGATCTAAATTCACAATTGACATATACTATTGTATCGACAAATAAAGGTTTGTAAACATTTTAAACTACTAAAATATATAGATTAAATTAGTAATTAAATTGTTGTTAAATTTCTTTTTAGATTTATTTAATCTTGATAGTGATTCAGGATTTTTATACTCACCTATGTCTTTAAATGGCAAACAAGGTGTATATTTGATTGAAGTTGATGTTTCTGATGGTGTTTTTCATGATCAAGCAAGTGTAAACATAACTGTTTTAGATGTTAATCAAAATCAACCAGTTTTTATTCATCCCCCAACTAACAATTCTACATTATCAATTCCTGAAGTGAGTATCATATTTTTGTAGTGGTCTGTAAAAGTCCTTAAAATATAAATTAATGTATCATTTTTAACATTATTTACTAGTTATTAGTATCTTAACCAATTCTTTAAATTTTTAAATGATAATTTCAGGATATTAATGTTGGCACATCAATTTTAACAGTTTGTGCTGAAGATAAAGATTTTGGAGAAAATGGTCATGTGACTTATTTTTTTAAAGTTGCCAATTCTAATGCACAACAAACTGATTCATTTACTATTAATTCAGAAACTGGACAGATTAAGACTCAAATTTTACTTGATTATGAAACTAAATCATCTTATCAAGTAAATTTTAATTATTTTCTTTTATTCTTAAACTTCATAAAAAAAAAAAAAAAAAAAAAATACAATCCTAATAGTATAATACATTTACTTAGTTGGTATTAGTTGCACGAGATCAAGGATCACCAACATGGCATGAAACGTTGAAACTCCTTACAATTAATTTAATTGATGTTAATGATAATAAACCTCGATTTCCTCTACGTATTGATCATAAGCCATTGTATACATTTAGTATTAAAGAAAATAATAGACTTCAGTATAAGATTGGTAAGTATGCCATAATACTTTGAAATAATAAGCAATTATGTTTTTTAAAAAATAAATATTACTTCTATTATAATAAATTCAATTTTTTGTTGATTTATTTAGGTCAAGTAAAGGCAACTGATTCAGATCAAGGCGAAAATGCCCGTATTTATTATTATTTAACATCAGATAAATCAGTTCCATTTATTGTAGACCGTCTTGATGGAACTATTTATGCAAATGACACATTGGATAGAGAAAAACAGAGTTCATATGAAATTATTATCAAAGCTTCCAACAATAATGAATATCAAGAAACAAATGTAAATAAACTTTTTTGATTTAATATTATTATTTAGTCTTTATCATTTATAGTCATATTAAAAATATTTATGCATAATATTAAAATTTTTTGTATTGCATTATGTAATTTAATTTTTATTTTATAGGATTTAGAAGTAGATGATTATAGCTTAGCCAAAGTATTAATTTTAGTAACAGACGAAAATGATAATGCACCGATTTTTATGGCTAATCATTATTATGCAGGTTAGATATTTAGTGAAATTCAATACTTATATTAATTTTACCATATTAGTTATAACTTATAAATATTGATATATATATATATAGTAATATCATATATTAGTAATATCATATCAGTAAATCAATTTATATTTGTTTATCTTTGAATTACTTATTAAATTAAAATAACATTTAACATAAAATAATTTAAATGTTTATACATTCAAATTCAATATAGAATATTTTAATTTTATATTTATCAGTTACTCAATGTCTCCATAATTTAATATATTTATATTATTTTCCAAATAATACTTATCTAATTTTACTTAAAACATGTTTAAATCAATCTTTCTTACATTTTAAATTAAAGACTATCTATTTAAAAAATAAAAATAAAAATGTATTGGAAGTTTTTCACTGAATATTGTTTTGAATATTTCAATGCTTTACAATAAAAATAATGTCCTGATTACAATTGCTAACTAAATGAAATAAAAGTATTTAAATTATTATTTTATTTGACTTCTAGGTGTAAATGCTATGGCAAAAGTTGGAGATGTTATACTTCAAGTAATGTCCATTGATCCAGATTTTGAAGAAAATAGCACAGTTACATATTTTATTGAGAACACACAGTTGTTTAGACCGGGAACAAATAATTTAACATGGTCATCTATTGTAAGAGATCCCTTTTCAATTGATCAATCTGGTCGAATTTCCACTGCTGCATTTTTAGCAGAATATAATCAAGGGCGTTTTGATTTACAAATAGTTGCAAAAGAAAATGAATCTCCTCATAGAGTTGCTTCTACTATAGCTACTGTAATACATTTATATTTATTAAGTTATGATTTTCCCTAATTTGTAATTATTTTATTTTAGATTTGGGTGTATGAAACTCATCAATTAGTAAAGTTAATAGTTTCACGTGCTCCACAGACTGTTAACGAGGGCCGAGAACAAATAATTTCTAGTTTGGCGAATGTGACTGAGATGATTGTTGTGTTGGACGATGTTCGCTATCATGTTAATCAATATGGTTATATTCAACCTGATTGGAGTGATGTGTATTTGCATTTGGTAGATCCAATGAAAAATGATATAATGTCCAGTGGAGATGTTTTAACTATAATTGATGATAAATATGACTATTTAAAAGACTATTATCAGAATTTTGCTATTGAAAATGTTGTGGTAAGTAAACATATTTAAGCTATATTTTTTATAATTATTAGGTAGTTTTTTAATTTAAAATATATTTGTATTTATCTAACTCAACCAAAAATATTTTTTTACTTAAGTTAATATAATTAAACATTTATTAATTTTAACTTTATTTATAAACATAATTATATTTGTTTAAATAATTTGTATGCTTAATACATTATTAAAATAAATATTAATTTTGATTATTATAGCCAGCATTGATTGTCACTCAAAATGAATCGTTTGAACCCACTATAGCTGCTTTAGTAGCTTTATTAGTAGTATTAACTGTAGGATGTATAGGTGTGTTAATAATTTGTTGCTGTTTCAGACATTGGTAAGATACTTTCAATAAATATTATATTGATATTTATTATACCAATTTCAGATTAATAGTTTCACAAAACAATTTGTTTTACAGGATGTTTTCAGATTTGGATAATAACTCTATAAAGAATGACATATTGATAAAAAAAGCTGTAATTGATGATCTCAGTACTACAGAAAATCCTCTTTGGATTGAACAGTATGTTAATAGTATTTGTAGTTAATTGTTATAAATTAAATTAATGCATAATCTTCAAAATATATTTAAGATTAAAGTTTATTTGTATGTATTTTACAGAAAATTAAAATTATATGAAGAGCAAGAATTAACTATGCAAGTTTTTTGTGACCTAGAAAATAAAGAAATGCCTATTAGCCAAGATGTTGTGGTACATATATAATTTATAGTTTTATTTCTTTATATTATTTTGGTATTGTAATTATTATTTATATGAATGTATAATCTAGGGAGATAATACTTATGCCACAATACGGCGACCTTCTCGTCGGGGTTCTATTAACACTTTATTGACAATGACACCTGGTGAGTATGCTACTTTGGGTGGATCTGTTTTGCCCTTGCCACCTGACGGAGGTACTTCTCATAGTCAACAGGTAATGTATCACATGAATAATATAAAACATAGTGTGTATATTTTATGATATAGAATTTTATTAAGGTTGCTGAAAGTTTTACGGCATTAAACAAATAATTGTGTCAATTGATATTAAAATAAAATTGTTTTATACATTTAAATATAATGTTTGTAGATGTTCGAAGCATCTCTTGGATTTCAAGGTTCTACATTCCAAGTACCAGATTCTGCTTTGGATACAAGTAATCTTTTGATAAATAATTCTGACATTTAACATCATAATTTTTGTATTTATTAAAAACATTAAATTTTTTTATTGTTATTTCGTAAACATATTTGTATAGCATATTTAATTACTTCTAGTATTTATTTATATTGTTTTAATTACAAGATATATATATATATATATGTATTTATATTTATTTAAATTTAGTTATTTAACTTAATTTGAATCAAATGGATGTAATAATCTAGAACTAATACTATAAGTAATAATACTAAATCCACCAAGTCAATTATTATTGATCATATTCAATATATTTTTATTTTAGACCTGTTTCACAGAGCCATTTTAAAGTTTAATTAATGTAATTTTAATTTTAAAGTTAAGAAAAATTGTATATCACTTAACTTCTTGAGTTTTAAAAATGTACAAGTATTAAAAAACTGTCAAATATTTGCTCATCAAATAATTCACTTTATTATTTTAAGATGAAATTTTTATTAATTTATTCAATTGTGATAATATTCAGTAATTTTTATGACTAAAAATATAACGTAAATAAGAATTAATAAATAAATTTTTTTTTACAACGAAAATAGATCTTTATGTATTAGCAATAATATTTGTATCGTATGCTGTGAAATTATTTATTTTTATTTTTATATTTTTATATAACTAAAATGTTTTAACTAAATAATTTAATTTATTTTTGTACTTTTATAATTTTATATTGTATTTGGAATAAAGTAGTGTTAAATTCTATTTTTGAAAATTATTTGTGTCAACATTTAAAATGTATTGTTTTATTGAATGTTTTTTTTTTACATTTTTGTTATGTGATAACAACACAATTTAATGACAAAACAAATATAATTTTAACAAACATTGGAAACCATAATTTTTCTAATAGTTATAGTACGATGAAGTCTTAAGGTCTATTTTTAGGTAAAACATTCATATTCATGTCCGTTTTATATCCAACATCAGTGAATTTGCATGTTTATTAATCTTACAACCGTTTTAATTTTGTGTTGTAATAATTAATATTAGATAACAATATAAAATAATTTTAATTATCTGTCCGGTATTTTCCTTTCTAATATTATGATAAATAGCATGTTTGTTACCCACATACATGGCATTTAATAAATCATGGAACTTCTCATGGATATGAATCAAATCAATGAATTTTTTATCAATACTCATGTATGTAAAATATTATGTTATAATTATGGATATAAAATAAATGTAGTTAAACCTTACCAATATCAGACTGACACAGAAACAAATTACATTGTTCCATGGTTTTTATATTCGTAATAGTGGAATACCCTCCATAAGCATTGTTCAAGTCAAAGTTGCAAATACAGAATGGATACATGAAATCATTAAATAACACGTAAATATAATAAAAACGCCCATGTGTAGTAAGACCTTTACTCTCTTACCTTTTCACTATATATAAAAAAATATTATCAAATAATTACTTCATATTATTAATTCAAAGGTAAAATTAATAAGTATTGCCTTCTTTTTATAGATAAGTATATCCATGTTGACAGTTTGTACCTTCTACAAAAATAAAGGCTTTATTTAAATAAACTTTTAGTTGTGAATCCAGCATGGGTGATATTTAGTTACGAGTAAAATCAGTTATTGATATTTATAATCACACATTAAGAAAGGTTTTCTCTATCACTGTTGGTTGATTTTAGTACAAATATTTGATAAAATGAAACATAAATTAAAGAAAAATACAGATTTCTCAGCAGTCAATATTTTATTATACATCAAACAAAGATATTATTAGCTTTGAAATTATTTTGTATGGGTAGCTTGGGCCTTTCTCATTTGTAACAAAATGTTGCTAAGTTCTTCACGCTTCCTCTTGGCTCGGATGTGGGTTCCCAACTAAAAAAATGAAATAAATTAAGAATTTAATAAAAGATAATTAATTAAGTTTAAAAACAATTTAACTGGATATAAATAAGATAATGATGCAGTTTAAACTTACTCGTCGTTTCAAGAATTTCAATGCACGTTTATCTTTGGATACCTTCAACAATTCCATGGCTCGCTTTTCAAATGGTGCATGACCCATCACTTCCCTAACAACATCTCTAATGAATTTGTTGTGTTTTGTCAAACGCTATAAATAAATAAATTTAAAATCAAAACCATACATAACTCAAATAGTAAATTAAAATAAATATTAGGCAATTAAGGATATTATTGATAAATATTTTTATTTTTTTAATAAGATAAATGTTAAAGAATGAACAGGGACGGCGCAAGGGGGTGGAAAATAGAGGTAGTTGCCCAGAGCCCCGTGCCTTAAATTATAATTAAGGCCCCACAGTTCTGATTAAACTGAACTTAAAATATTTTATTAATATAAATTATAAGATTCATCATTTATTTTGCCCAGGGCTTCATAAACTTTAACACCATCACTGAGAATGAATAACACATTTCTAATAAATTGATTAAAACTAGGAATAAAAAATTGTTACCAAAACTAAGTATTAAGTACTAGTATAAATCATATACAATATATATGATTACAGATACATATAATGATAAAATTAAAAATAAATCAAGGTTTAAATACAGTTATCATCCCACATATCATAGGGTAGTAGTAATTTGTACTGGAATAGTAAAACGTATACAATTATGATTGTCAAGCATTTAAAGCATATCATTTGGTTTAGAACAAAAAAATGATTTTAGTAATATATTATTTTTATATAATATACCCAATAGTATATTAATGAAAAATTACAGAAGAAAAAAGGTGATGATATTGATCTGCACAAAAACACTTAAAATATTGTTATGAATTAATAATTATATTTAATATTACTTACGCCTTTGGTACGGGCTTGTCTGAGTTTTTCACTTTTGGCTGAAAGTTCCTTGCCACTGACTTTACCGACTCTTTCGATTTTTGTGGTCTTATGACCACGTTTCATACCAACCGCAAGCTCATAACGAGGAGCCATTGTTTTGGATCTGAAACGAGTTTAGAATAGATATTACTGAATTCATTTCAAGTACGAACGACCTAGGTGATATATAACTATAAAAAACAACAAATAAATAACAAGTGTTGTGTATATTTCCAAAAGAATATTCTAAGAAAAATGTGTAACGAATGGGAGTGAGTACTAAATAATAATAAAGTTTTACCTAGAGTTGGATGATTTTGGATAAAGTTGGAACGCGAAAGATGTTAAACTAAAAAAACACCAATCTACTATATTAAAAGAAATGTACACGGATAGTGAACACCACACAATAACAAAACAATTTTGAGGTTATACCGTGGTAAACACTGAATATCACGAGGTATGAACATGTCTTTATCAAAGTGATAACTGATAAGCGTTTACGTTATCAACGATAACGTAATGACGATTTTGGTTCATGATTTAAGATCAGAAATGTTAAATGATAAATTTCAGGGACTGCAGTATTCAACACATAAACATGACGATGTTTTTTATTTTTGTTTATAAGTACAATTGCGTACATATGGAGGGATTTCGGGATAAATTTCCCCTCAGGAACACAAAAAAAGTATTATGATTTATGATAAAAATAACTGTTTAGGTGAAATCTTTTGATAAACATATACAATAATACGTCATTTAAATTCCCTGTTCATAAGAAAATTGAATTTACATCACTGAATTGATTACCTTAAACCTTATTGCATTTGTAAAAACCGAAATTACATTAGACACATGCTAAATATTAACATACAGATTAATATTGTCAAATATGGTTTAGAGATTATATTAAAAAGACACTTGCATCGCGAAGCCAACCAGTGAAGGTATGGATTGGGCAGTGCAAATGTAGATACTTTCGAAGGGGATCTTAAATGTTAATGTCATTAGAATTTATGCCCGGATCAACTATTCCATAGGAACAGGGTATAAAAGGTAGTCCCGTACAGACCAATATTCAGATGTGTTTTAGTCCAATCTTAGCAACATCTTCACGCTAATATAATTGTCAATTTGATTAAATACTTATAATTAGAATATTTCAATAAAAACAGTTTAACTTAGTTTGAGTATCTTTATTGGAATTATCATAACAAACATCCATTTATGAACTGTTGAATTGACTGCACGCAACACTATGTATCATTAAATTAAAATTAACCAAATCTATTCAAATTTAATGACTTACTGAATGACTAGAGAAACAAACCACACACAGTAAAGCAAGTTAGGTTTCATTTTACTATATTTATACGGTAATGCTATTAACGAGAAAAACATTTTTAGCTGAAGAAAGACGTAAAGATTTTAATGACTAGTAAATATCATGAAATTTAATATTTGAATTGCAGTAGAAATTTATGTTAAATTAGACCTACCTTGTAAAACTTACTTAAACAACTTATGAAATACTAAAGAAATATAACTTATGTAGTATTAGGCAATTTAGAAACATTAAAATAACTAAAATAAACGTGTATTCATGTTACAATAGAAAAATAGCTTATCATAACATTTGAGTGTATAAAAAGATAAATGTAAAACAACATTTTTTTATTCTATGTTCAAATTAGCATGTATTATTTTCACACTGTCATTAGTTTACAAAAATATACCACACTAGATGATGATAATATAAAATATGAGGGCATTGCAAATTTACAAATTAACATGTAAGCAATATGTGTAATTAGGTTAAGCTAAAATATATAATAGAGAAGACAAAAAACAATAAAACAGTTCTTCTTTAGTGGTCGTGTCACTCGGCCACGATAGGAAGCTTGTTAACTTTTTTCTTTAAGTGTTTTAATTAATTTTTATATGTGTTTTTTTTTTTTTTTTGGTGTCTATATGCACAAGTCAATCGGCGTATACGACACTTAAAAGTAAAAAACCATGTGTTTAATAGTCAAATTGATTTAACAATAACTATTTGTACATATTACAAGGTATAAAAAATAATAATAAAATTAGTTTACAATATATGAAAACAATAAGTTTGTAGTATATTATTATATATTAGGATATGGCCCGATTTGTCGTTTAACATAACCATCATTAAGGTGATCAGTTCTCAAAAACAACAATAAGTCACCGTCTTGATTCAGCTGCTGTACACATCCTCTAATCATTATAGGTGTATTTTCCCTCTATTTTCTGGACATTTCATTTCTAACCTAGTAAAGTACATACAATTTACAGAAATGAACCACAGTTGAAACACATAAAACTAATTATATTGTGGTGACGTAAACAACGCACTGCGGATCGTCCAAGTTGTTTACAATATTGTCAGTGGATAAGGTCCATAGTTTTTACAGTCCATAAATTATTAGTTCTGACCGGCACGGTTCGGTCTCGGTCCACTCTAACAAATTATTTTAAATTTTCAGTTCGGTCCGGTCTAAAATTAAATGTAGCAATCGGTTCGGTCCTTTTTTAACATTTTCAGTCCAGTTCGGTCCCTAAAATTACGGACCGTGCAGAGCACTACTACTTACATATTATATAAAATTATTCATTTTCTAACATGTTAGATAAGCGAAAATTGAAAATTAAGATTTAAAAAAAAATTGTATAGTAATATCTATAACCAGCTGTTTTGTATTATTTTAAAACATGGTATGCTAAATATCAGAGGAGGCACTGTCCCTCTTGATTTATTCTAGGGGGGCTATTGCTACCCCCCAGTTTACGCCTATGATATACTGCCTGGTTCATTTACAACGCCACCTGATTAGCCTGGGTACCGAGTAGATGAAGTAATATAAATTATATTCTGGTATTTTTTTTCCTTCCATTTTATACATACATCCACTCTATAAAATTCTATAAAATGACACAAGACCACGAGAACAGACTTTCTTGTATGCCCTCACCATCCGCGGAGTCCATCGATTATTTATTAAAATGTAATAGTGAATATATGCAATATGTGGATATAATTTGAAATTTATAATTATAAATATAAAATTAATACTTTGATTAGAAAATTATACTATATTTATAATCATGAAACTCTTAAATAATAATTTTTTTTCAAAATCATGCATACGAGTATGATTTCATTGAAATTGTTAAAATGTATACATACAAGTGATAAGTTTTACAGACGGCGTGGTTAGGCAATCAAGGAGCATTTATGTATGGCTTAAAATATAAGAATTAAATTATTTTGGTGTTGTAAAAATAAAAATGGAAAATATGAATAAATGTACGATTTAATCAGTAACAGTAACAAATATACACACAGAGTATCCATCGAGTATACAAATATTCAACAGTTGAAATATCTATGCTGATGGATATTTTCATATTGTATTTATTGAAGAGAAAAATCAAAACATATAATTCTTAGGTCAACAAAACAAAACATGAAATTTAATTTAAACATTTTTACATTTAATCATTGAAGTAATGAAATTATTATATTTATATATGACATAATATCCTGTGTGTCAGTAAATCTGTCAATTTCAATAAAATCAACCAAGTTTTTAATAAACTATTCATGTCACGGCTTTCAATCATCTAGCTTACAAGTTTTTCTTACCTGTTCATATTTTACTGTTGGTAGGTACTATCAACTTATAACGAATAGTTTAGATTTTATGTTTTATAATATAATATGTTGATATATTTTAGTATATATTTATCAATATTTGTAAATATAAAATCATAAGTATTACAATATATAGGTATCAGTTATTTCCTCATTTGCTAGTTAACAGTCTAGATCAAATAAAAAGTGAGTCATATGCATTGTATCAATGCTTATATAATAATACAATTTGATACTTATTTTGTTTATTAAAAACACACATAAATATTATATTTTTAATAATTACAATAATTTAAAAATTAAAATAGGTAACTCAGAAAACATAAATACTTACAATTTATTGTATACAAGTATGTATGTACTTTTTTAGTCGTGTTGTAAATATGAATTTATAGTCTTAGATTAATATAAATATCTGATTGAACATTTTAAAATCATCTTAATACAAATAAATAATTTGAAATTTAAACATCTAAAATCTGTTGTAAATTTAATAGCTTATATTATTATAACAATATTACAGTATTTATCAAATCATACATTGTTACAATAAACATAATAATTTTATATAATAACTCTTATCATAGAATTTCACTTTGTTTCTATGTACTCATAATGTATAAATTTGTTGTAAATGTATTAGTATTTTGTATCAGAGTATTTATTTATTTTTATTTTTTTTTTTAATTGAAGAAAAATGAATAATTTTATAAACTTAACATAAATGTATTGCATTCACAGAAAAATATAACATAATTGTGTTATAATATTGAACACAAAAAAAAAATAATTTTATAATATATCTAATCACATAGCATGCTATATTGTTTTTTATAACATACTATTATTATACACATACATCATACACATTTTTTTTATACAAACAATTTTTCAAAATCAATAATAATAGAAAAACAATAAATTTTATTGTAATTATTAATATTTTTAATTAATGAAAAAAATTATTATTAGTACAATAATTGATAGAAATCAAAGAAAAAAATGTATAAAATGTAAATTTATAATGATTATAAATTAAATATTCTGAATGACGTAAATATATAGAAAATTTAGATAATTGTTAGACATAACTAGGGTTCCGAAATTATAGGAGCTAAAAAAGGCACGAAAAAGTCTGAAATATGTAAAAAAAATATTTATTTATTAAAAGTTAATTAGTAAATCCTAAAAACCTATAATTAAAAAAATGTTATTATTGAAAAGTAAAATATGGCCCATAACCTGTTGGCATTTGAGATTTTATTGAATTGAAAAAGTAGTTAAACAAATATATTTTTATTATTTGTGAAATACGAATTTAATACAAGTATATGTTGTATAATACCTGTTAAGTTGTTGCATTGAACCACCATTATTTTCGTTAAATTCATAAAGACAATAAAAAATAACAATAAATAACTATGAAAAATAATATTGAGTTTTACATGATGCACGTTTTCCGTGTTATTAGCATTGTGCTATGTAATATTATTTAAAATAAATTGGTTAAGAATGGAAAAAATTTAGTTTTTTAGAAAATATTAAATATGCATACAAATATGCGAAAATCAATGAAAATCGACGAAATATGCCTTTTTTCTCTAAAATTAACGAAATATGCAAAATATGCATTATTAATTTTCTATTTTAAACTCAACATTGTGTAGCTCGGAATTCTAGTTTGGTCTGCTATAAATCGAAAGTATACAGAACAATATGCAACTCCTATAACTTTCAAACCTTAGACATAACAGACATAACAATGTAAATGAGTGTAAAATATAAATATTTAATACATAAAAAAAAAAAAAATACGATTATATATAGTTAAAATTTTTTATTTTTAACTGTACTTAATTGAATATAAATAAATTATACCTATATTACTGTATTATAAGAATAATACATATTTAAATTATGAAGTTTATATTACTCCAGGTTATAATCGGATCAAAAACGCTTTTTCTACTGTGAATTTCTCGATCTATATTTTGATCCCAATCTGGACTCGTGTGCAAATATGCTACACATCTTTATGTCCACATGGAATTTATATTTTTACTTAATGTACTAATATTTTTATTACTAAATTAAATAATAATTATTGCTTTTAAAATTAAAAATAATGAACTACTAGACAGTTTTAATTTTAAAAATAATCGAGAAATTATATTTGAAATGGGAAATAAATATTAAATATGCTTAATTTGTTTTAAAATGTTTAAATATATTTTAGGATCCATACTAACATAGACACTTTTAATAAATGTATCTACTGGTTAATTTCATAACATTATTTACAATAATGATTTGTTTAATTTAATTATTTAGAATTATACGACTTATATAAAAACATCTGACAAAGCTCATCTCATATCAGTAAAACAACACATTTTTCTACACCATTGTTAAGCTAAAAATGAACTACCGTTAAGATTTGTATATGCGAGTATGCCACACACGTACATATTTATATATTATATACAAACGTTACCATGTATAAATTGTTTAATTAAACTTAAATATCTGTTTACACTAAATTATTTATACTTCGTTAAATTAGTGTTCAAACTAGATAATCTACTTGAAATAAGAATTATTAAAAATAAGATGGAATTCTATATACAATCGTACATTTTAATTTGTGAATCACCCACGGATTTCACACATTTTATATTTTCATTCTATATAATGTATATTCGTTGTATGATACCGGTTAAATTTATTTAAAAAGGTCAAATTATAAATTTTGTTCTAAGATGAATATATTCTAATTTTTATTATTTATCTATATTAATTACAGAATGCTATACTTTATTGTATTTATTCAAATTATAGAGTATTAATTAGTGATGGGTCGAACATCAAGGGTTCGGTTCGGTTCGGTTCGAAATTCGAACTCGGCATGAAAAAAAATTGAACCGAACTATCAAGCATCTTTTACTGTTCGAAAATTGAATTTGAAAATATTTTTCGAATCAGACTTATTGGTCACAATAGTTCGAGAAAACCAAATATTTGTACAATTCTTCAAAAGTTATTTTTGAATAATAAAAATTGATAATGATTATTTAGAAATAATTAGACTATTGGCGATAGAAAGTGATAATTTGTAAAGGTCACGTTATGCATTATTTATAATAATAATGCTATTATTATAATAATAATGTTATTTTTCCAGTCGCATGTTACACATCCACCCTCCGCCGACCAAAACATTAATAAATTGCCAATAGAGGCAGTGTATCTACATCCATAAATTAGCTATTTTTGTTTTTATCATATTTATTGTAGAGGTTAAAATCTATTTTGGGTAAATCCATGGTAATATATCATGGTAATATTCTGATACTGCGACTGTGCTTTTAATAAAAAAATGTTTAAAACTTACGTCTTACATTATAAATTCTACTAATCATTCTATATTTGTGAATTATAGTTATTATTACTACTATTTTTATATATTATTAAAATGTACTGATGTATTATCATATTACACTCAATACTCAATTAATATTTTATAAGGTACAAGACAACACGAGAGCACAATACTGGTTTTGAAAAATAATAATAATAATAAAAAATTATTTAAAATTTAAGTTTATTGTAAATAATACAATTACTTAGACTTTAAAGTTAAAATGTAGAATAGGTAATACGAAAACTTAAAATACAATAGTAATTAATAATTATGGTTGGTTTAATTTATAGGTAAGTACAATGTACATGATAAAAAATATTGAGTTCGAGTTCGACTTAAAATCATAATAGGTTCGGTTCGGTAGAAAATATGAAGGATCGGTTCAGTTCGAGTTCGAAAAAATTATTTAAAGTTCGGTTCAAGTTCGGTTCGATTTAAAAAATCAGGGTTCGATCCATCACTAGTATTAATATAATAATACTTAAATTTAAAAATATTAATTTCTAATTTTATTGTCATAACTGTATGATAAAATTACAGGACATTATCATTTACTTATTATTTTGATTCATATCATTTAGAAATAGCTTCTTTCGTAAGATTATATTTCCTTTATTTTAGTGAAACTAATTATTGAATTTTAATATACTGATGTGTGTTAAGTCTTATATTAAATATTTGACATAAACAATAATAACTACTAAAGGATAAATAAACGGTTTTCTACAGTAAAAATTTCGGATGACTTTTGAGATTCTAAAAGTATTCTATACATTGTAATTAATTTGTATGTATATAAATAAAATAGTTAATTATAATTATAGTTAAAAAAATCACTCATTGATAGTCATTTACTATAAAAACATGCGTATTCTAATGAATTAGTATATTAACGACACTCGTGTTGGTCAACCATATTCATATTGACAATATGGACTGTAGGTGTTTGTACTTGATAATAAATAGTTTTTTGAAATAAAATAAAATAAAGTTAAATAGAAGAAAGAAAAGCAAAATATTTTCAATTTTTACAAAGGTTTTATATGAATAGATTTTTACACTAGTTCGAAGCAATGTCGAGTGAAGACGACGCACGGAGGATGTATTGATTTGCAAATTATCATATAATTATACTTATTCAAATTTAGTTCTGTTTTCTTTATATATATATATATATATTACATGTCTCAGTATTATAATTATAATTTTGATTTTAAAACTCAAATAATATATTACAAAAAGAAAAAATAATTATAATAACAAAAAGAATTAACCAAATTGCAAACAATACATTCTCATAAGACACCACACAGAATCTGTTTTTAAATACTGTTAGACGTACGGAGGTGTTAATATTGATTATTTTGACACGAGAAAGTTGAAGGATATTATGTACCTTTTGATTAGATCTTTTGATTTAACGACGTATATAATATATCCTCAAGTGGTCTACGATAGCAAACTAGCAGCGTGTATATTTTAAAGATGTCAGTTAAGAACCGCTCGTTTCCGTGTGTTACAATACATGCACATACGGATGTTAATTACATTCAGACCGCTCGACATTTGACTTTGTATAAACATATACGTAAATTAGATTCCCCGGGATTCACTTATTTACATAAAAAGGAATAAGCGGCAGCGTGCGCACGTCCTACCCGTCGTATTCATCTAACGTTTGCCGTTTGGAGAAAAGTAAACCTGTGAGAAATCCTATAAAATGAACGCAGAAGAATTAGCAGAAGCAGTGTTATACATATTATACATTGTATGTAGTGGGGAAGTGTGTGCATGCGTGTGAGTATGCGAGTAAAAGGCACAAAAAGATAGATTGGCATGAAAATTCCTGGGCCCGATGGAAAAAAAAATTGCGATCTCGTACTCGTGCCGTCAAAGTGATGATTATCGAAGAGCTCACGTAAATCGATTATGTGTCGCTTGAAAACGTGTACGTTCAATCGTATTTCCGCATGTTCAATTATGAACGACGAGATGAACGCAATACATAAACATGAATGTATTTCGAAATGTATAGATTTTTTTTTTACCTTTTTCATTTTCTCTCTTCGCATAACTTTACCCGTTAATTTATAACGTTCAATAACATTCTTGTTGCAATGGTTTTTGAAACAGCGAATCCACGAAAACAACGAGTGACGGACACGTGAAATGTTACACAAAAGGGAACGAGAGAAATCAACAGCATCGCGCCGGGGGTCCGATATTTTGGACGATAATACCCGTCGAGGGTTGACTGTCAACGAGACGTCGGCGAAACGGTATTGTCAACAGCGTTATGGTCACGGTACGTGATTGAACGGTACGCGTACACGCATTAGTGTCGGATCTAGGTCTCAGGAGGCTCTCAGGGTGCAAATGCTAATTGGAGGGCCTAAAAAAAAAAAAGTGTTCATATTATTTATTTATTTAATATATGTTGATGTAAATATAAATGTTAATAATTAAAAAAAAATACGAAATTGAAGTATTTTAATTAAAAGCTTTTATAAAAATATATAAATAATTATAAAAAAAAAAGTAAAAAAAACAACGAAACACAGACAATTATAGATTTTAGTTCTAAAGGTCTCTTGGACTTTGAAGCTTTTTGCACCCTCTGCACAACACCCTCCACCCATAAATCCGGTACTATAAACCATAATATGTATAAACGTACATGGCAGAGGATCATGGTATTGAATACACGCGCGTTGATGAAAATGACGGAGGAAGGGCGGGAAAGGAGAGGTTATCGCTATGGAACACGCGCTCAGCGCTGGGCGGATGCAATGAGGGTTATAATATTCAGATTCCATGCCGATATCGTGTTATAATACAGCGTTCTTCGGGTCAATACGTTGGAAAATCCGCCTTTTCGCCGCCGAAATCTATATATATTCCTAATCCAAATTAAAATAGTCGAATCGTACTCGGTACGGATGGTAATGATTGGACTGCACATTGGTCAAAAAAAGTTGGTATACATAATTTTATACTTTTATAGTAAATCTAATGATGTATTGTTAACGGTGAATCGTTTAAATCGGTATGAAAAGATTAACTAAATTAATTTAAATAATTAGTCAAAAAAAGGCAACATCGTTGGATATTTTTTTTCTCTGTAAACAAGAAAGCTATTATTTGTGCATTTCAATTAATTTTACGTTTTCGAAAATTTTTTTCGGACCAAATGCCAACCGGGTTAATAATGCTAACCTTTCTTCGACCAAAGTGTAATTCTATAGAAATAATCGCAATTCGACTTCACCATCAAGTGCTTCATACTCTTGCGTCACCATCGTGTACGGTACAAAAATTTCGCGGAACAACGTCACGAATTCATGTTGTTTTTACGTTTTATAAACGGTTCAAACGACCAACACGCGCACGGTTCGTTTACGTATCGACGCGGCATTTATCTTGCGAGAAATTATTTCAGTTCAGAAGGATCACCGTCCTACCGGGAAACGGAACGGGCTAGGGAAAAAGGGGATGAAAAAAAACGGGGCCGTGATACGTGCACTAACACCCCTGGGTCCGTATTGTCTATTGAAGAGTTATTATGATTATGGAGTCAACAACAACCGACACGAGTGGTCTTACAGCTATTTGACGAAAAGATCTTTGAGTGACGAGCAGATGGACGTGTCGCAGTTACGGGCATTTGGCTCGTTGCTCGTTTTCACCGTGGATTTGCCGCCTGGTTGCTGCTGCGGTTGGCCGTCAGTCGGCGACGCGTCCGCACTGTCACCCGTCTTCTTGGCGGCCAAGAAACCCTCGATGGCCGTGCCCAGCACCTCGGCGTTCACCACCGAACCAGTCGGCCGGTCCCACACGACCACGTCACTGCTCTTGGTTCCGGTTTTCATGTCTAAGGATTGCGACGACGATGATGGCAGCGGTGGTGACGGTGGCGGTGGCGGCGGTGGTGGTGATGACGATTGCGACGGTGGCTGCGGCTGTTGCTGATGGTGGTGGTGTTGGTGATGATGATGGTGGTGATGGTGGTGGTGGTGATGTTGGGGGTGCTTTTCCGGTTTACACGTGACTGGTTCGAGCAGCGACACTTTCGGCCGCTCGTCCGTGAACGTCACCACGACCGGTGACTTCTGGACGACGTACTCGCCACCCGCGCCGATAGCCGTGGCGCGCAGTTGTTCCGCGCACTCCACGTCGCCACCGGTCCGCGAGCCGCCTGCCATCGCTGTGGCCACCGCGGCCGACGACCGCGTGGACATCTTGCGGAACCAGTTCCTGGTGCTGTTGCCCGCAGCCGCGGCTGCCGCCATGGCTGCGGTCGTGCCAAGATTAGCCACGTCAACGCTGTTCGACCGGCCGGCCCGGAGCAAATCGCGGCGCTTGTCGATGCAGCCTGCCGGCAGGCTGTCCGTGGTCTTGCTACTGCCCGGTGGCCGGCCGCCCGTTGACTGCATCGCTTTGCTGGCCGTCGACTTCAGCGAATTCATTATGGACAGCAGATCCGTATTCGTGCACACGATTCCGGACGACTGGGCCGCCGCCGAGTTGGAGGGGAGCTCGGACGCGCGTCGTCGAGCCGGCACGGGCGGCGCGATCTTCTCGCACACGTCCACGTTCGAGTATCTCCTGGCCTCCTTGAACCTGAAACACGGTTTCCCTCCACGTATACATTCCGAAACAGGGCAAACACAATAATATCGTTTTTATCTTTGCTGCTGCACTGCGGGGTTTGACCGAGAACTCCATTAGGTTACAGGATATTCTATTATTCTCCTCGTCACCAATAATATACAGGTTCCCTTTTGCCGATTCTCTCCGAGGAATCCAAGTTTATTTCTTTCTGGTTTTTGTACGTTTATTTTTATTTCGTTTTTATTATATATATACGTTTTATTAGTTGTATTGGTTGTTTCTACTCAATATTTGTTTTAAGTTGTTGAGTTTAAATACCAAATGAACTATTGTTTTTAGTGATAACAATAAGCCATCTGTATCCTAAGTGAAGCCGTGCCAAGAAATGCGTTTACAGTGTTCGGATCGGATTAGGTCAGGTTAGGTTATGTAAGGATTTAGGTTCTCTTCCATATGTAAAATTCATTCAGGTTTTTACTTCCAATATTTATTACATTATTTCTGATTCATAAACTCTTAACTAGTGTTTAAGAATATAAAGTAAATATATTATTCATGCGAATCGATTTAGATTCGTTATTAAGAAACTTTGTCGACTGAAGTGTGCATAAAATTAAACTCCTGAAAATGTATATTGATTATTTTGTACAAAACCTTTTCGGAACATCAAAACGCATTCGAGATTTAGTTTCGTATAATTTTCAGGGGATTTTTCTTACAACCTCTAAGAATAATATCAGCATCGAGTAATGTATGTTAACAAAAAGTATTATGTTACATGAATTGATTTTTTAACTTTTTTATAACTTTAACGAATAACGTAAAAGCGTTAAACATTATACATTGGCAAATCACAGTCAAGTCTTCTAATAAAACATAATTTGCCAGAAAAAATCGATATGCCTTGTGGAATATTACTTTTTTTATCGATATTAATAATTATTACTTTTACTTTTGTTTGATAACGTTAAGATGATTTAGACATATTCAAAATCCTAATGAAACTTAATTTAGACAGAATCTACAGGAAGCAATTAAAATATCGGTTTTCCTAGATTTTAATTTTTAAACAGAATCCAGACGATTGTTAATGATGGCAATTACTGTTTTCATATTGCGTATTTCATTTTACCAGGAACATGGTTTGGAAACATTTTATTCGTGGCTGGATACTCGCTCATCGACAATTGCGGAAGAGTACAAGTCAAGAATCTCTGCTATTGTAATATTTACACAGCACATAATATTGGAATATATCTCATTATCGTCAGAATTCAGCGTGTGTACGCTTTGTGTGTTTTTCATGTGTTCTATTAAAAGTATAATATTTATACAAGGTTTATTTTTCTCTTTTTTGTCCAATTCAAATAACATATATATATATTTTATTTAATATTTAACAGAAAATAATTTTCTTATTAGAATATTTCAAAAAATAACTGCGGTGTATAATATTACGGTATTATTTTATTTTGTAAAATTGCATATCAAAGAGATTGTATCAGGTACGCATTTTCTCGACATAACCATGTATTTGGATTGGAGATTTTTCTTCGTATAATAGAAATGAAATAAAGTGAACATTAATAATTTATTATTTGAAATAAAAGAATGATCAACCAAATTCACTTTTATAAATATATATAAAGTATTATTACTTGGTCAGCTAGTACGTACATAAACTATAATATATTAAACATTACATTACATATTAAATACATTTTTTTTATTCCATTTTCTTTGTATTTTCATTTTCTATTTTTTCAATTTTTTATATCTTCTATAGGTATTTATAATAATTTTGTTTATTTATAATTATTGTACCTTATAATATTAATTTTTGAAAGACTTTTATCCACGAACAGTATCACATTTATAATCATAATACTAAATATATAATAATAATAATAAAACGCTCAAAAAATTTGGGTTGAAATGTCTAAAAAAAAATTTTATTAAAAAATGCTTGTGCCATTTCTCGAAGTATATCTTTAAGGTGTTTTAAATTTCACTGCACTTATATGCTACAATATAAATTTTATTATTATTCAACACATCTTTACTTGTACACACCATTTTGTTTAATTAATGTTTTTTTCACAACTTATACATTTTAACTAGAAAATAATTTCATAAACTTTGGGCTCTTAAACGTAATTATTTTTAATTTAATGTAGTATTATCATGTGGTAAATAGATTTCACTTAAATAAATTACAATTATAACCTTAGGTATTTTTTTTATTAACATCTGAAACTAATTATAAAATTTTATAGTTGAAATTTAAAAATATTATTTTTGTCAGTAATTCAATAGTATTTAATTATTTTTAATATTGTTATTAAGTAATATTAATACAGTAGGATTTCAACTAACGAAATTGTAGTCCATATATTTTTTTTTACATTTATGTAATTTTAATGTTTTTAGTAGTTTTACATTTTCAACGTAACTCGACTCAACTAAATCAAAATTTTAATAAGATATTTAATTTTATTATTTTTTTGTCGAGGTTTTCAACATAAGTAATTTGTAATTTTTATTGCAGTATTTAAATATGAATAACATAACTGTTTATTATTATTTTATTATAATTAAAATGAAATATTTATTAAAAAACTACAATTATTATTGTTGTATGACAATTTTTTTATTTTAAAATGACTCGTATAACATACAGTATTGGTTAAGTTTTATTTTACTGGACACTATTATTGAGTTCATTATTTTTTTTATTTATAAATACAAATGTTTTAAAAAATATATGAACATATATTTTTGTTAAACATCTATTTCAAGGTTTTTTGACTTTTACAGTAATTGGATTAATTTATATAAAACTAAATATTTTATTCTGTTGATTAACGATTTTTCATGTTTAACATAATACTAAAAAAATGGATTTATGTGTAATAGGATTTAGCTGTTTATAATATGAAAAATGTATTTTTTCTTGGTCTTAGTCATAAAGTAAGAGTATTTATTAATGTAAATATAAAAATATAATATTGTTGGGATTAATAAAAAAAAAACTGCATTTTGTTACAGTTTTATGATAAATTACTGAAAATTGGAATAGTATGCGGTATATAAGTTTAGTCATAAAGTTGAGACTTAAAAGTAATTTATCATGGTAATCTAATTAATGCAACACAATAGAAATATTATTATCATTGGTACCTATCTTTTATTCATTGTCAAACTATATCAAACGTGGTCGTAAAATATATACTGAAAGTTTAATTTTAATGATCACTACATTTTCATTGTTTATAGAGCTATGATAAAAGTTGCTTACACGCATATTTTACGATAATTAATATATATTATGAAACATGACGATTTTAATCGTTTTGTTGAACACATAAATTGTCCATACCGACACGCAGCGCAGCGCGTATTTCAAATTATATTACATTAGTCGCCCAGCGTGCATCTGACTTTATTTAGGATCGGAGATCAAAGCACGTGGTAGTGAACACGGAACAGTGGTTACCTAGACATTTGCTTATTTTCACCATCCAGTGATTGCAGTTCACAAACTTTCTCTTTGTCTTCCGTCTGCCACATTTTCATCCTCACTTTTCTGGCCTTGATGTCCGCGATGTCGTCCATGATGTCGAGTTGCAAGTTAAACTGGCTGCCTGTGGGTGACGGGGTGGCACCACCTGCTGAGTCCCTGCGGTTCATCCTCGATCCCTTACTGGGAAATGCAGCGATTGATTCGCGTCTGTTGCGACCGAATAACGGCATGGGCGCTTTGGATATCGTTATGACCGAATGTCGACGGCCAGGCGTGTGAGGTCCCGGCGCTTTGGTCAACGTAGCCAAAAACGCTTTCTCTCTGGCTGCTGCACCAGCTGCGCCCTGATCGCTCAATCTTCGTACCTGCACAGAACATATGTATACACCCAAGAATAACCGTTATATTATATGCTCCCACAAAAATAAATCATGTTTTTATAATATGTAATTAATGAAAATCATTATTCGTGTATCGATTTAAATTAAATAGTTTCGGTATTTTTATTTAGTTTTGAAATCATGTAATTATAAATAAGTAAATAGATAATAAATATGCATTAGAATTTTTTTTGAAACTAAATTTGTATATAAATCAAACTGAACTTAAATCGTATTTAAAATTATATGATACATAGGTACAATCGAACCGAGGCTGTTTAACAATTAATACAGGCAGTAATGACAGCTAAGGTTTGTCTATATTATAAACATAATATTTCGACAACCTAGTTCTAGTTACTTTCTAAATGTTTTCCTTATGGTTACCTCTAACATGATTATAGTAATTTTTATACTTTTAGCATAGCTTTTGAGTAGTTATTTTGTCCTATATAAAAATAAAATTAAGTTATTTTAGCTTGGCTAAATTACTTGGCTTGCAGTTATTCCGGATGTACATTGCGGTGTTGGTAATGAGCGTTTCCTCATGTCTCTGAATGGCGATAAGAAAAAAGGGTCTTGCGGTGGAGTATCAGGACATCCTTGTCCATTTCCAGCCACATCGTCTATATCCTCATCTTCTTCGTTAAAACAATTTTCCTGATCTACCACAATTACTGGTTCCGATTCCATTTTCTTATGAATATTTTCTGAAATTCAATAAGAAATTACAAATTATAGAACTGATTTAAATTTATATATTTTATAAACTAAAATATTAAATTACTTTAAGTCGATTGATTTACTAAAAATATTAAATTTGTTAACTAAAGACATTCGGCGGTGATAGAATTATGATTGAAAATAATTTTGTAAATTCAAAACGTATTAATAAATATTTAACCTACTTTCGATAATTTATTTATTTACAAAAGAAAATTATCGGATTTGAGATCGTGTGCTGGAAGTTAATTTTTCATTTAAATTAGTATTTTCACATATAACATGTTTCTATTTAAGTATAATTCAACTATCTTAAGAACCAAGTATTTATAGTTTTATTTTATAGCTTACAAATTTGTTTAATATTGAAATTATTGTTGGTCTTACAAAAACATTATATAAAATAGCATTTTTCAAAGTGTTTATTAATATTTATGAATAAAATAGTCCTATTTTATTTTTTTTTAATGAATAGTTAAATGTCAAATATAAATCCAATTTTATTTATGGAAGACTTCAGCTATAAATGTTCAGGTTTTTTGAACTTAAACAAGAAATAATTATTGACTCGGATTATTTAAACATTGATATATGTATGAATATTAAATATGCACTTTTATTTAGCTAGGAAAAGAGCTAATATAATTATATATAACTATTATATAGACATTAAAAACTATTGGATTTGAATCAGTATACATATTTGAGATGTCAACAAGTTTAACAATTTATATTCATAAACTCTTGACACGTTTATTTTTTCAAACAATTTATCATTCACCGTAGTGGTAAATGTTTTTGAAATATCTCCCTTAAGATGTCTAACTAAATAAAACGATACGTTTACTACGATTAAACCATGTTGCTTGTATTTCTCCGAGTAGGAACGTTAGAAAATGATATTATAATATAAATGCATCCAAGAGGTAGTTTATCAATATGTTAGTTTTAATGTAGATGTACAGAAGTGTTATAACGGAATTTCATAATGACTAGAAACCATTGTCTGCTATTTTGTACAGTTATATGTGGATAAATTCGATGACCTTTATAATTATATGATGTGACAAAAACATTTTTCTTCGTTTTTTTCTTGTAAAATAACTGTATTGCATTTTTAAATTTAAACTATTGGGTAAATTTAAAATTAATAGTTGGGGTTCTGATATGTATTATTATAATGTTAAGGTACTCAATATTTTTTGTATGAAAATGTAAGTGAGCTTTGGTTTTTATGAATAATTTTGTTTTAAAAAATGAAAAAATGTATTAATTTTATCAAAATCCTTGGATTATAGTATTATTAATAACTAATACTTAAATATTCATTTTTATCAGTGCAAAAATAATATAATTACTCCAATGTTGAGTTTAAAGATCTCTGCTAGTATTAATATTATAAATTAATTTTATGTAAGTAGTATATATTATTAAATAAAAATAACTAATTTTATATATTATGCATATGAATGAAAATTTTTAAAAATATGGGAAAACATACTACATAATATATGTATCCACAACAATATTAATAATTCAAGTGTTGTTTATGTGAAATTCTTCAAATTTATAAATTAAATGACAACATTATCATTTAATTAATTTTATTTAATGAATGATAAATATTACAATAATTTAACATGATTTATAAATATTTAAATTTAATGGTGTATTATGGTTTACAAAAATAGCACACATTTTTCGAAGCCGAATAAAAAAAATAAAAAATAAATAAAAATATAAAAAACATTGTGATAAATTTATATATGTAAGGTTGTACTGTATATGTTTCAAAAAAGTTAAAAGATTTGTTAGTTCATTTAATATTAAAATGATGAAAGCAATGGCTGTCATGGCATCATGGATAATTCTGCATGCTGTTTAATTCGTTTCGTTGGCGGTAGTCGGATATTAAATTATGATCCAGCATCGTTGATATGGTGAAGCTGTTTCGTTTTGAATAATTTTGAAAAATCACGTTCAGACATTAGTATAAAGGACTTAATTAACAATCGGTCGTAATATAAGTTAGAAGACATCAGCAAACACTTGTTAAAGGAAACATCTTGTTGACTGTTAGAGATTGTTTATTAAAACCTTTGAGGATCGTAGAATATTTACCTTTATGTATAAATATTTTAGCAGTAGTATTCTATGAGTATATTTTTCTATAATATTTGAACAAAAACTTTATGTCTGTTGGTATATTTAGCAAATACAAATATACTAATTTATAAACGGGTTAAAGTAATACAATTCAAAAAATTAAAAATAAAAATAAATATAAAACTAAAATTAATTTTTATTTTATGATCTGTTATTTGGTTCTATAAGACTTACTATTTGAAAGTCCATTATTAATTCAAAAAAATATTATCATCAATTAATTGTCTAGCAGTGGCGGCTTTGGCAATAATTTTCTGGGGAGGTGACCTATAATTTTACCAAAGTAACCAGTAAGGGGCTTTACCTTTCCCCCATACAATCAATCACTTCGCTACTTAAAAAGTGTCTATTACTCTAAATATTATACTAAAATATCAATAAATAATCTAATTCAACAAACATTTTTTTATATTTCATATTTACTGGTTTTTATAGCAAAAATATGCATTGGTAAATCATACATCCCAAATATATACTGGAAAAAAATAGAAAATAGTTATAGTAAAAACATATATTTATACATAAAATAGAAAAGCATACAAGCCAGTCTACAATTTAAGACCTGAATAGGTATATACGTAATAATAAAATAAAAAATACATATTATGTAATCTGTATCTTAAAAAAAATCAACGTTATTTTTCAGTTGAAAAATTGTATAAATAGTAAATAAACATAACAATAAACAAGTATAGGTAAATACTTGTTTAATATAAAATTAAACAAGTAAGTTAAATATCCAAATATAGGTATATTTAAATTTAATAATTTGTTCCTTTTTTCTTTAAAAATAATTTAAAAATAAAAATTTACCAAATTAATAAAATAACAAGTTAATAATAATTTAAAAAAATGATTCAATAAATCTAAACATTCAATTTAAATATTTTTAATTAATAAAATTCAATTAATAAAATATAATAAGTAAAATAAATGAAACAGATGACTTTCTTGCTTCAAATTATAAATAATACATTAATCCTATAGATAAAATATTTAATAATCAGTTTCTTTACTGACTAGAAAAGTTTTTGTAATAAAAATAACAGTAACTATGTACATATTGTTTAATAAATAAAAATAATATTAAGTTTTATGTATTAGTTGAATAAAATGGTTTGGTTTCTTTAAGTTTTTGTATTAATAATTTTTCAATTGATATTGTCAATAAAGAGTTTAAATGTTGTTGGAAAGTACTATTTCTCAGGTATGTTTTAATTCTTTTAAAGCAAGAAAAACTTCTTTCAACCGTTATTATCTATTACTTCATAAAATAATATTTTAAAACTTAGTTCATTTTTAGAATTTTGTCTTGCTGTGGTATGTTTTATTAATTCTACTGCTGTATTAAAATAGTTTAAAAAATATTCTTCACTCCTCTTTTGTTGTATGAGATCACATGTCATTTTTATTTTCTAAGACAATATTCTATTTCAAAGGATTTGCATTGTAAAGTATTAAATAAGTGGTTAGTGATTAAAAATATATTATTGAAAATGTGTGCTATAAAAGCAAACTCAAAAGACTTTAAATTTTTTGAATGCCCTATAGCACCACGAATAGATTCTGCAGATGATTTTGGATTAATACTAATAGTTTCAAAAACAGTTATAATGTTAGGCCACTCATTGACTAATAGATTCAAAATTTTTGAATACGAAAACCATCTTGTTTGACCAAATTGTGGAATGTGTTTTCCTACAGTAGAATCAACGACGTTAGTGAGTGAGGTAGAACTATGGAAATAAGCTAAAATTCCAGTTACATTAGCAAAGAAAATACGACATTTTGAATTCATATTACAGCCATTTTGCAATACCAAGTTTAATCGATGCACTAAACAATGTATAAATATTGCATTGGGTGCAATATTTTTTACTCTATTTTGTAATCCTGTCAAATTTCCTGCCATAACACTTGTACCATCGTAACATTGGCCAACTAACTTTTTCTCAATGTCAAATTTATTTAAAACAGAAGCTATCAAGTTAAACAATTCTTCAGCTGTATGATCATCACTAACATTATGGAAACCAAGAAAACGCTCAACTAGTTCTGAATTTTTATTAACAAACCTTAATATGATAGAACACTGAGTTTTTTGAGTTATATCAATAGTATCATCTATTTGAGCTGAATAAAACATGCATTGTTTAATTTCTTGTTTGATATTACTAAATATGTATTCAGAAATACATGTAATTAAGTCATTCTGAATTGTTTTTGATAAACCAGAAAACTTATTTTGAATACTTTTATAGTGGTTTTTTATTCCTAATGAACACCTACTAAAAAGCATATCGAATAGTTCATTAAAGTTCCCTTTATTTAAAGAGCTGCTACTTTCGTCATGGCTACGAAAGCTAATTCTTGTTTAACCAATAATAAAACAATTTCAATAAGGTACTCCATAAATAATCTGTTCAGTCTCACATTTTCATAATAATGCTTTTTAAATAACTTTCCATGTTCACTAAGAGTATCAACAATAGTTACAGAATGTTTTTCTAAGTTTTTTAAGTTAAAATGATTGTGAATATGCTCATTTGAAAACTCATGTCTTTGTACACTTCTAGGCAAATTTTTAAAATCACAATACCCTTCAGTAGACCAAACAGACTTTGTATTCCCTAATATTAAACAAGGCCAGCAAAATAATTTTTCTAGATAATAGCTACCACATAACCAAGAGTGTTGTTTATACCAAGTTACGTTAAATGATCTAGAAAACACTTTGCCACCCTTTTTGTCAGTAGTTAAACATGATAAAGATGGAGTAGGTTTACCTTGCATAAGTATATCTGTTTTATCACGAGTATTCCGACTGAACGGAGTTCCAAGTAAACATAAAACCTAATCATAAATTGGATTCATTATACTTTTGAAGTATAAATAGTAAAATAATAACTAAAATCAAAAATCAGAAGAGACTAGAATCATTCAATTTATTTTAACACTAAAAAAAGTAGGTAATAGAAATATACTTATAAATAATTGCATAAGGACTAATAATTATTATTTTATTAACTACATGTTCTTAATTATCAACTTTCCTATAATGATATACATTATATTTTGATAATTGACAACATAGATATTTATATTAAAATTCAAAACATAGATATCTATGATTGACAATAAGCAGTTTAATGATAAGGAATGCCGCTCGCCGTGAATCATAAACATCTGTTTATTATCGCGGGTACCATCGTGAGGAGGCGAAAATATTTATCGCCGCCTAACTGGCAAAGCGCACGTAGTTCAAATTATTGTATATGTGTGTGAGTGTATAATTTATGTATACTTTAAAACCACGGTAGACGATTAAAATAATTGCTGCCCCGAGCCTCTACACTCGATACGAGTACGAAAAAAATACAATATTGTTATAAAATCATAGAAAATAATGATTAGCCATTGGGGGGCGCATAGCTTGGGAGCCGTGTGGAGAGATGTTAATTTAAAACGCTTATTTTTCAACAATGTATTCATATTAATTGTGCGTTGAATATTTTTTTTGTCACTTAAAAATTTAAAAAAAAAACTTAATGATTCGTTTGAAAAACAAATTTTTTAAAATAAAGATTTTTTTAAAAATGAAAAAAATATTTTTCTTTTTTTTTAAATTTTCAAGGGAGGCGGTGTCTTGCTTTCTCGGGAAAACGGCTACTGTTGTTTAGTAATCTAAACAATTTTTTTAAAAATTGAATGTAATTAAATCGATTTTTTTCTTCATAATACAGTCTTAATAAGAATTAAATTAGTAGATATTTTTATTAATAGTTACTTATTTTTCCATTTGATTGCATTAGTTATAAATACTAAAGAAGGGTATTGAAAATAGATTTTTCAATAAATTATAAGCAAATATATATTAGTAAACTCTAGAAAAAATGTGTTGTATTAAAAAAAATAAATGTTGTTCAATCGAGTTTTAATTTATTTAATGTATAAGACTGTACACTGTCGAAGGAAAAGCTTCCACTATAATAAACCGCTTTTCTGCGAATAATAGTATATAAAAACTCATAATATTAAGTTAACAGTTTTTAAAAACGCTACCCAATGAAAAGTCATTATATTATAACTAATTATTAAAGAGAATTTAATTGATTTTTTTTCCACTATAGTAATGATGTTAAATAACAAAATTAAATATATTTTAAAATAAACGCATTGAGTTATATTTAAATAATAATTATTTATCTGCCCTTTATGTATTATGTATAAACTTTATTAGTTCTAAAACATTTTGTAAGCAACCGGAATATTATATGCATAATAAGCATCATATTTGTCAGCTAAACCTACTATTTAATAAATTCTTATTACTGTTCTAAGAAGTCTCTGGCTGTATATTAAATTTAGCAGTAGCGGAATTTTCTTGGTGAGAGAACGTATCGATTCTCTTGTATAGATAATTTCATCTAAGTTATCTTCATTCTTTAATAATATATTTGAATAAATGAGAGTTAATAAATTCCAATACATTATTTTTGGGTTTTAATATATTAAATAAAAATGCAGTTAATAGTTAGAACATACCATTAGTATTGTTATAAAAATATTTGAATAAGTACCATAAAGGTTTTTTTTTCACTACATGTCTTTACTTATTCAATTCGTCTTTCAAATCAGTACTATTAGTAATGATTACTAAAAAAAAACTATTATACATTTGATGTATATTCAATACTTTAAGAATACTTATATTTATATATATTTATATTGAACGAATATGTAACTCATGAATTTTTATTTTATTTTTCTGCGTAATAAAAAATGTTAGTTTACATTTTACCATGGTTTTGAAAAACGTGAAAAACTAGTATTTATTTTTTAATTTTAATCATAAAGTTACTAGTATTATAATTTTTTTTTATTTATTTATTTAATTTACAGCTGACAGTATGTTTAGTTGATACGACGTTGTATTTATCATATTTTACGTGGTTAAATTTATAGTCGAAAATGTGTTATAATAACTCACAAGTCGCACTCAATGTATTATACATTCTATAAATTATTATCTAATACTTAAACGACCTCAGCCATATCGCTGATTATAGACTTGCAGACTTTGCTTACATTTTATCATCAATCGATTGTCACACATGCTCTGGTCGAGAATATTTATTATAATATTACGCTGTTATACCGATTTACCGTTCTCATATATCATGCGGTTAGAAACTTTTTAAAATATGTATACCAATTTTTATTATTTTTTTTCGAACAATTATAAAGTATGTTATATTTCTTTTATTACTTTTCGAAGACAATTATTTTTTCTAAATATATTATGATTATGAAAAATTTTCTCTGATTGTTCTGAATTCTTGTCAGTTTTACAAGACAATTATTTGATTTTCTTTTTCTGTGTAGACAGTTTTGTTACATTACTTGTGTTCATTTTGTATACATACATTTATTATATTATATGTATACTTATTTTTCTGAGAATATTATTTACAATTTCCAGTCAAAGGCTGTCAAATTGTTAAATGTTTGAAGATTTATGCCTATATCTGGTGTCATTTTGTAGGATGGCTACAATTCACATATTTCGTTATTGTCATTATTTATTAATGATCTCAAATCTATACCGCTCATTGTCACCATTTTTCATTTATCTAACGATTCGACACTATACTATAAATACAACCTTGGTACAGCGAGTAAGAATTTCAATCTTATTTGACAAATTTCTTTGAAATGCCATCAAGGAGTACAATGTTAATAGTTCACGTTTTTTCTTGTCAAAGGAATCCAATCACATATAGTTTTAATACATGGCTAGTTTTTATTTATGTTTGGTAACGGAGGTATTAAAATAAATACAAATTAATTCATAATGAGATTATAAAAATTCCGGAACTTATCATTATGTTAAATTTACTAGTATTGTAGCATTATATGACTCAATATTGCACTGATATTTTTGATACAAGTTTATTATTTCTTTTATGATCGATTTTATAATTTAATCTCGGATTTCGCGTTTTGTGATTTTTGAAAAATACAGTTTTTAAAACGATTAACCGGATATATACGAAAGAAATTGTTTTTTTCCGAACTAACTCTACTGAATTAAAAATATTTATAAAATAAATATTTGTTTATGATGATAACAGATATATATTAAATATATTGAAAATGGCAAAGTAAATTTCCCTAAAAAATTCAGCCTTTGTAATATCCACGAAAATTTATTTTATGGAAAAATATAATAAAAGTTATATATTATCTTCTATGTTATAATATACTTTATCTAATCGTACAGAATATTAATATTAATTATAACTTTAAGACTACATCATAAAAATACTATTATTATTATATTTTATATATATTATTTTAAATTTTTATAATTATATTTTGAACACTTAATTTGTAATTAAAGTTTAGCTTTATTTTGGATGTTTATCACATTAAATATCTTTATTAAGTTAATTAGATTTATTCGGTAAAAAATTGAAGTACAACTAAGAGTTGGTGTTTAGTGAAAATAAGTTTTTGTATTATTTTTTTTAAACCACTGTATATCAAATTATTCTGGTGTAAGAATAATTTTTTTTAATAATTTGTTTTATACTTTGAATAACGTGTAGAGTTAAGTATTGCATTGACTTCCTTGGATAATATTTTCCTAAGTATAGACAATATATAGTTAGGTCATTGACAGAATTATTTGTGTTAATTGTTACATTATTTTAGGCGTTGTTTGGAATGAAATGAAAAATTTTTAAACTGTAAATATGCTTCAATATGTTTAAATTGTATAACTTAATATATATAATCTATCAAATACAATTATTGTGTTATATAATTATAATGTAAGGAATAATAATTAAAATTGTTATCAATATTATTAATAATGGACTAATAATAAACAAAACTAGTAGAGAATATTTTTAAATGTAGAATTTGCTCAACGGTATAAATATTACGGCTGCCTTTATTTATAATCCCGATCCTGGCTGCGACAAGCGTCACGATCTACTGAGAATTATTTTTCTCTCAGTTCTATATACATCCCGAAGCTGGCTGAGACGAGCCACATATATTCCATTGACGATTCTTTAAGTTTTCTAAAATAGATTGGTTTTTACTCAGTTCAATAAATTATGGTTTTAATCTATTCCTATTGTCATGGTTACACACCACACAAAAATAAAATAAAATAATAATATAAATATAAAATTAATAATAATACAGTCTTCAGTCTTCTTTTCTTTTTTTTACAAAAGAACTTTCTTTTGAATCACTCAATCAATTAAAAATGCCCGCATCATAATC